ATATGATTACCGATACAATGGATTTTTTTCAAACTGCTGTACATCTTCTTGGAAGTACCAAAAACTTGTAGACTTCCACACATTCAATAGTATATAGATAGAAATGTAACTTACCCCAGTAGAGAAATAGAGGAGAAAGGGACAAAGAATGGGGGGATGGGAATAAAAGGTACAGGTAGATTAAGGGAGGCAGTGATTAGAAGCAAAAAAGACTTTTGAGGAGGGATGGGATAAAAAGAGAGAGGAAAAAATAGAAGAATATGGGAGGGAGGGAAATAGTAATCATGATTATGAATGTGAACGGAATGAGCTTACCTATAAAATGGAATCAATAGAATGGATTAGAAACCAGAATCCATCACTTTGTTCTTTGTAAGAGACACATTTGAAACAGAAAGATTTAGCAGCTTCTAAAATAGGGAAGCAAAGGGATTGGAATATGATATTCTGGAAGACAAAGGATCTATGATTACAATCAAGAATAACCTACCCAGAAAAACTAAGTGTAACCCTTCAGGGGAAAAATGGATATTTAATAAAACAAAAGACATTCAAGCATTCCTGATGAAAAGACCAGGGTTGAATAGAAAATCTAAAATGCAAACAGAAGACTCAAGAAAAAGGTAAACATGAAAGAGTTATCATAAGGGAAACAATAAAGTTTAACTATATAGGAATAAGCTATATATTCCTATATTGGAAGATGATTCATGTCACTTCTAAGAACTTTACCATTATTACAGTAGTTAAAAGGAGTTTACACAGACATAAAATATGGGTGTAAGTCAATTATGCTGGAAAAGAGTCATGCAATAAAGAGCTTTTATAATAAAGGGGAAAATGAGACAAGTGGCAGGCAATACTTGAACCTCATTTTCATCAGAATGGTTTAAAAAGGGAAGAACAACTATGAGGTACCAGCTCATACTTACCAGAAATGACAAATGCTGTAAGGGATAAGTGAAAAATAGGTACAATAATGAACTATTGGTAGAGTAGTGAATTGCTCCAAATATTCTAATGGACAATTTGGAACTATGACCAAAGGGCTATAAAACTGCATATACTTGGCCCAACAATGCCACTAATAGATCTATATCCCAAAAAGAAAAGATCAAAGTAGAAAGAAAAGGACTTATATGTACAAAAATATTTATAGCAGCTCTTTTCATGGAGCAAAGAGTTAGAAATCAAGGGGATGCTCATCAATTGGGAAATGGCCAAACAAGTTGTAACATATAATTGTGATGGAGTACTATTGTGCTATAAGAAATAATGAGGGGGTGGTTTGAGGAAAACATGACAAAATTTGTATGAACAGACACAAAGTGAAGTGAGAAGAATTGGGAAATCATTGTGCATACCAACAGCAATGTGGTAACGATAATTAACTGTGAAAACTTGGTTACTCCGATCAGTACCAGGATCTAAGACAATTCCAAAGGACTTATGATGAAAAAATGCCACCCACCTCCAGAGACAGAATTGATGAACTCTGAGTGAAAATCAAAGTATAATTTTCTCACTTTATTTTCTTGCTTTTTTGGAAACATGGATAATATGTAAATATGTTTTGCCTGATTTTACATGTATAATTGATATCATATTGCTTACCTTTTCAGTGGGTGGGACAGGTGGTAAGAGGGAACTAATAACTTAAAATTTAAAACCAAAAGAATGTAAAAAACTCAATTTTTTAAACTGACTTTTTATATCCTTTGACCCTTAACTTATGGAGAACAGCTGTTCTTAGTCTAATAAGTTTGAACCAGTGCCTTTTATATCTTCAATAAGAGAACTTTATAAAAGAAATGCTATGGATTTTCTCAGTTAACTGTTTCCTTTTTAATTTTAGTTGAATTGGTTTTGTCTGTGAAATTATAAACAATATGTAGTCAAAACTGTCTATTTTATCTTGTATAATTTTCTCTAACTCTTCTTTGGTTATTAATTCTTCACCTAGTCATAAATCAAAAAGGTAATTTCTACATTTTTCCCCTAATCTGTTTAGATTGCCACTCCTTCTGGTTAAGGCATGCACATATTTGAGCTTATATTGGTACGTCGGGTGAGATATTCATTTAAACCTAACTGCTGGCAATTGTCTTTATCCCAATAGTGGAGGGGAGGGAGTTTGGGTTTACTGAATACTAGGTTACCAGGTTCATTTTCTTTTTATGTTCTCTACCTAATCTAACCCACTAATCAGCATTCTATTTTATAACCAATACCAAGTCATTTTCATGATTATTGCTTTGTAGTATAGTTTGAGATTTTGTACTGTGAGGCATTTTTCTTTGATTTTTTTTTTATTATTTCCCCTGGGAATATTAATGTTTTGTTCCTCCAGACAAATTTTATTGCTCTTTTTTCCAACTCTATAAGTCCTTTGATAATTTGATTGGTGTGGTATTGAATAAGCAAAAAAAAATTTAGGGAGCATTGTCATTTTTATTATATTTGCATGGTCCAACCAAGAACAATCAATTTCTGGTTGTAAGTCTATATTCATAAAATCAAGTATACTATAATTTCTTTTATATATTTGGAATAGGTATCTTGGTAGAGAGATGTACTTTATACAATCTGTAACTATTTTGAATGGAATTTTTCTTTCTACCTCTTCCTGTTGAGGAATGTTTATGATTTTTGTAGATTTATTTCATATACAGCAACTTTGATGAATTTATTGTTTATCTAATTTCAATTGGTCCTTCACTTTACCAAGTCATCTTTTTACTCCTCCTTAACTGTGACTCTCTATTTAACTTACCATACTTGGCATTTCAAATCTCTTTTTTCATCAAGTCTTCTACACAACTTTGTCTTGGCACCCTTATAGCTGAGGATATCATCTTACATTCTGCCATGAAAATTGAGGCTATTCACTATGTTTTCATTGAGCAAACTGTTGACATTCCCCTTACTCTCAAATATGATTTCCTTCTTTACTTTAGCCTCTGATCAAGAAAGAAGTGGCACTTCTCCCTAAGGTCAATTCCTCTACATAGATCCTTGATATTACCCTCTTTCATCTTTCAAAAAGATTTCTACTATTATCATCACTCATCTTTCTCTCTAATCTTTAATCTCTTTATGTCTACAAATTTCTTTATTGTTGCTACCTACAAATATGCTCAAGCCTTCCCATCCTTAAAAAAGCACTCAGTAGGTCCTACTATCCCTGCTTTGTATAATCCATAATTTGCCTCCCCCGTCTAGTGGTTTCTTCCTAATCTTCATTCATCTTGATCTCTCTGTAGCATTTCACACCAAAGATGGCACCCTCTTTTTCTCTCTTTGGACCTTGGTGACACTACTCTTTTCTGGTTTTCCCTCTGAACTGTCTAGTCATTCCTAAGTCCCTTCTGATTAACTGTGAGTATATCAGCAAGACTCTTCTTTGAGCCCTCTTCTCTCTACACTCTCTCACTTGGTAATCTTATCTGCTCCCACGAGTTCATATATTATTTCTATGAAAATGACTCCCAGGTCTATTTATCTTGCCCTGTTCTCTCTTCTGCTCTCCAGTCCCATACCACAAATTGCTTATTAGACATTTTGGAATGAAGGCCCTATAGAAACATGTAAAACTCAACATGTTGAAATCAGAACTCATTTTCTGTTCCCACAAACTCATCTCCCATTGCTCTACACCTCGCAATTATTGCTGAAGGCATTGCCTTGGTGTCATCCTTACCTCCTAACTGTTATCCCACTGCCAAATCTTTATCTCCATAATATCCTCCACATACATCTCCTTCTCTTCATATGCACAGATACCACCCAACTCTGAATCATCCTCCACAAAGGTGCCAAAATGTGACTTTCCTAAAGCACAAGTCTGACCAAATCACTTTCCCCTCTCCCATTCATTAACCTTCATTTATTAACTTTATAATCATGTATAAAATGTGTTTAACATTTAAATGCCTTTTCAACCTGGTCCCTTACTACCTTTCTAGACTTCTTAAATCATTATTCCTCTACAAGCATTCTATGGTTCAATCATACTGACCTAACTTGCTATTCCTCCTATATAATATTCCTTTGTATTTTATGTCCCTTTTTAGGGGCTGTGCTTCATCCCTAGAATGATCCCCCAACTGAGAGAACCCCTGGTTTCCTTTAATAACCAGATCAAGCATCACCTTTGCCAAGAGGTCGTTCATGGTCCCCTCATTTGCTAGTGTTTTATTATTTTTTTAAAGGCAATTGGGGTTAAGTGACTTGCCCAGGGTCACACAGCTGGTAATTGTCAAGTGTTTGGTCTGAGGCTGGATTTGAACTCAGGTCCTCCTGACTTCAGGGCTGGTGCTCTATCCACTGCACCACCTAGTTGCCGCTAGTGTTTTTCTCTCTAACGTCATCTTGGATCTGCTTTACAGTAGATACACAAACACACACACACACATGCACACACACACACATACATAGTAGCTTGTATAATCCTGTATATGCATATTTCCCCTGTTAGAACATAAGATTCTTCAGGGTTGGGGTTCTTTCACCTTTACCTTTACATCCCTGATGTTTTAGCACAGTGAATAGCCTTGAATAGACACTTCATAATTGAACCAGGGTTAGTGTAAATGACTTGATATTAGAAGTGCTTCATTATTATCCCCGAGGCAAGTGAATATGTATGCCCGTTCTTCTCCCTTGTCTCAACAACTACTTTTCTTCTTCTCTATATTCTCAGAAAACATAACTTTTGGAAGAATCAGTAACTAAAAAGATCTTGACATTATAGAACAATTGGTTAAAACCAAATTTTACAAATGTAAAATTTAAGAGATAGGTATGAGAAAACCTACACTTGGTCAAAAAAAATCAACTGCAAGTTGATTCAAGAAGAAGTCTAAGATGTTCAACTATGCTGTAAAATAGTATTATCAAAATAATTTGGTATTAATTTGCCAAATAAGCAAATTTATAGAAAGTATTTTTAGTGAAGGCAAAACTAACTTAAGCAATTAGGTAATTCAAGAATGAGTTACCTGCACAGGGACTCAACGCAAATCCTATCCTCTTCCGAGCTCTGTCAAACACAACATAGAAACCTTCCATAACTGTAGCACCAATTACGAGAGCATCAGCAGAAGATGAGATACCAAATCGGTAACATTCATAATTTGAGTCAATTCCCAATATAGGAAGAATATAAAGCTGTAATTTGAAAGGAAGGAAAAAAACAAGAAACCATATTAGTTCACCAGTAACAGAGAACTCTCTCTTTCTCTCTCTCCATATATATATATATATATATATACATATATATATATATATGTGTATATATATATATGTATATAATATATATATATGTATATATATAAACATATATATATATATAATATATATATATATGTATATATATATATAAACAGTATACAAGTTACTGAGGGGAGTTTCTTCTTAAAATTAAAAAAAATCATTTCACTATTTCCCCTATTAACAAGCAATTATTTTCTCTCCCATTTTCCCTTCTCACCAATAAACAAATGAGAAAAGATAACCTGCATAATAAAGATGTACATTTAAAGCAAAACAAATTTTCACATTGGCCATATCAAAAAATGAATGTCGCAGTCCTCCCTTTACATCTCTCACCTCTCTGGCCAGAGAGGTGCCTAGTGTGCTTGATTCTCAGTCCTCTGGACTTATGCTTGATCATTTGCATTTTTCAGGGTTCTCATCTTTCAAAGTTGTTTTTCTTTATAACATCATTTTATAAATTGCTGTCTAGTTCTGCCCACTGTTCTGTGTTTACATAAGTCTTCTCAGTTTGCTCTTAAAGTTTCCATTTAATAATTTATTATGATACAATAACATTCCATTTCATTTGTATGCCATAGTTTATCCATCCCCCAATCTGTGGATATCACCTTAATTTCCATTTTTTTCCCAGTAGAAAAAGATTGAATGTAAAAATTTTAGTTTGCATGGGTCCTTTTCCTCATTCTTTGATCTCTTTGGGGTACGAGCATAATAGTTGTATCAATGAGTACGTTCTGTTTGATAGCTTTGGGAGGCAGAGTTTCCAGAACGACTGAACCAAGTCACAGCTACACCAACAGTACATTAGTATGCCTGTTTCCTCATAATTCCTCAAAAATTTGTCATTTCTCCTTTTTGTCATCTTTTAGCAATCTAAAAGGAACCCAACAGTTGCTTTAATCTGAATTTCTGTAATTATTAGTGATTTGTAGGATTTTTTTTCCACATGGTTATCATTAGCTCAGATATTTTTTTCCTTTGAAACCTGAGCAATTTTATCTTTTGACCATTTATAATTTATGAATGGCTTATAAATTTGAATCAGTACTTTATATATCTTTTCTCAGTCAACTGTTTCCCTTATAATTTTAACTGCACTGGACTCATTTGTACAAAACTTTTAAACTTCATGTAATCAAAATTTTTAATCTGCCTATTCTTTGTTCATAAAAGGAGATATCTTCTCTGCTTAAGGAAAATGTCAAAGAAACAAGACAACAAAGATCCTACCATCTATAAACCATAAACTAATTGATTGAATGATATGCCCATGCCTTGGTTAACTCTGGATTTGTACCTTGAGTCCCTTACTACCTTCTACTCCTTATAATTTTGTTTTCTAAGTACTGATCAAGTGGAAAGCTTGAGAAATGGATATTTCCAGACTTGGAAGTTACCTCCTTCTGAGCACCAGCCAAACCAAAGTGAGATTTCCATAATAAATACTTTTAGAGAAAAAGAATACCACTGACAGGATCACCCTGAATTTGAGACTACCAAAGCCATGCTCTGACTAAGCATGATAATTGCTGAATTTCTGGAACAGTGATGGCCTAAGATACATGAAATATCTTTTCAGTGATCTCACTGAAGGCCTTTATTTTTTAGGGGGAGCATACATGCATATGTGTATGTATACATGTACCTTACAAACTAGGAAGCCAGATTATTTTTTCGGCTATTTTTCCAGCTCTGCCTCACCCCCAAGTTAATCCCATGTAAATCTTCAAGATAAAGTCTACTTATTGATCTTCTCAGAAGAAGAAAACAAGTTCCCTTTCCACAAAGACAGTCATTGTATAATAGAGGGATCAGGTGTGGGGCAATGTGCTTCCTTTTTCCACTACAGAAACTGCCTTGAGATCCATTTCTAGTTGTCCTGATCTATATCTCACCACTGGACCCAGATGGCTCTGGAGGAGAAAGTGAGGTTTGCTCACAGAAAATGATTTTGCTCAGCCCTTCCTCACTTAAATCCAATTCACTTGCATGTTATGGCATCACCTCCCTGATGTCATCGTCTTTTTTGAGAATGAAGGACAAAGAACAGAAACTGCTTAAAAACAAAGTACTCTAAACTGCCCATGGATATCAGGGAGACTCCTGTAAGAGCTCACACAATCAAAATATTTATTTGTGTTTCTGTTATGTGAAAATTCTTGTGTAGAATATGATCAATGTCAATAGAAAACTGGAAATATTTTATCACATTTTATTCATGTTTAAATGTCACTGAAATTCATTTATCCAGAATTCCAAAAGTGTATTCTAGGACTTCTATATGCACTTAAAATTAACTGCCTATTCAATTTAAAAAGCAAGCAAACTAGTTGTTTCCAAATGAGTTATTATTATTTTAATAAGTTCTATAATTTACCCCCATGGCAATTTGATTGGTCTAGCATCAAAAGTATAAATTAATTTTGGTAGTATTGTCATTTTTGTTATATTAGCCTAGACATGGCCACTGAATATCCCTCTATTTAATTTGTTCTCTAATTCTTTAAGGAATATTTTGTAATTGAATCTAAGTCTTTCATGTATTCTGGTAGTTGATACCCAGATATTTTATGCATTCTATAGTTAGATGGAATGGAATTTTCCTTTTTAATTTTGTGTCTTGGGTTTTGTTATTATTTTACAGAAATATAGTTAATATTGATGATTTATTTTGTAGCTTGCAATTTTACTGATAATTTAATTTTCTCACTTAGTATCTTTGTTGATAGCTTTATTTCCACTTTACCTGTTTATATTTCTTTATTTTTGCATTATAGCTGTTGCTAGCATTTCCAGAACCATGTCAAATAATAGTGGAGAGTAGGCATTCCTGCTTTACTCCTGTATTTATTGAAAAAGATTCTAATGTATCCCCACTGCATATGATGCTTATTTTTGGTTTTAGATAGATGGTTATGATATTAAAGGTCTCTCTATGCCTATATTTTGTCAAGTTTCTTGGCAAAAAAGTGTTACCCGGTCAAAGGCTTTTTCTGCATATATTGAGATGATTATGAAGTTTTGGATTTTTTTGGTTTTTAATATGATTATGTTGATTATTTTCTGAATGTTGAAACATGCTTATATCCTTGGTACAAATCCCACTTGGTCATAATGAATGATTTTTTTTAGACCGTCACTGTGCCTTTTTTGACAGGTTTTTGTTTAAAAATCTTGAGTCAAAGTTCATGAATTATATTAGCCTATAATTTTCTTTATATGCTTTTTTCTTTCCCTGGTTTAGGTTTGGAACTATATTTGCCTCAGAAAAAGATCCTGGTAAGGTGCTTTCTTTCTCAATTTTAGAAAATAATCTGTTAAGTATGGGTACTAACTGCTCTTGAAAAGTTTGATAAAATTTGCTTATTTATCCTTCAAAACCAAGAGGTTTTTTCTTTGGTAGTTACTTTATAGTTAGAATGATTTACTTTCTGAAATTGGACTATTTAAGATCTATATCTGGTCATCTGATAATTTGGGCATTTTATATTCTTGAAGGTTTTCCTGTTTTTCTTTTGAGCTCAGTTTTGTTAGACTATAACTATGCATAGTATGTTCTTTTGTGGTGCTTTCACATCACTCATTTGCTAGCTTATTCATTTGATTTTCTGCTCTCTTCATTTCAATAAAATTAGCTAAGGGTTTATTAATTTTATTAGTCTTTTCAAAGAACCAAGTTTTAGTTTTATTTATTACTTCTCTTTATTTTCTGTTTGTCATTTATCTATTTGCCTTCTAATTTTTAGTATCTTTTCTCTTGCATTTATTTTAGATATATTTATTTGTTGGCTTTCTAATTTTTAAAAATGTATATTCAGTTCATTAATCCTCTTTTTCTTTTTGTTAACATACATTTGTAAAGATATGTTTTTCCTCTTGAAGACTGGTTTAACTCCATCCCAGAAATTCTGGCATGTTGTTTCACTGTTATAATTTCTCTTACTTTCTGTTTTTATGTTTTGTCCTTCAGTAATTAGAATTTAGGATTTGATTATTAAATACATTATTGATTTGGGTCTACATCTTTTGTTTATGGTCCCTGAACCAATTACTATTTTATTGCACTATGGCCTATAAAAGATATATGAAATATTTCTACCTTTTAACATTTGTTTGCAATATCTCTGTGCTCTGGAGATGCTAAATTTTTGTAAGTTTCATAGGGTCTGGGAAATATGTATATTTTTTTTGTAATGCTATTTAGAAGATGTCCTAATAGCACTTTTTTTCTATCTCCTCAGTTTTATTGTGTGAATGTCTTTGTTTGGGGGGGAGGTGAGGCAATCAGAGTTAAGTGACTTGCAAAGGGTCACACAGTAAGTGTCAAGTGTGTGAGGTCACATTTGAACTTACGTCCTCCTGATTCCAAAGCTGGAGCTCTATCCACTGTGCCACCTAGCTGCCCTATGAATATTTTTGTTTTTTAAAATGTGTTTCTCATGAGGAACAGATGGTAAGTTTTTGTTTTCTTTTCCAATTTGTCATTCTTTATCATTTTATTGGATTATTTAATCCATTCACATTTATAGTTGTGAGATTTATATTTTCCTCCATCTATCTCTAGTATTTTTTCACCTTACAACATTTTCTCCTCCTTTTTTGGTAAACACAACACTATGTTCCTTCAGTTACTTTACTTAATCTTTTTTAAGGTGGTCTTGTTCCTTTTGCCTCTTTTCTCCTCACCCTTGATCCACTCTTCTCATTTGTTACCTCTCTCTCTCTCTTTGGGGTTTTGCTTATTAGTTACTTTGTCTCTCTTTCTTCTATCTGTTTATATAATTCTTTCTCCCCTTTATTTAGTCAAGTAGATTTCCTCTTTCTTTCTTACCCTTCATTAGTACTTTTAAAAATTTCATTTCTTTTTTGTGTGTCTTTTGCCATAGAATATA